ACTCATGGAAGTGACCAATCAGAGAAAAGTCACTCCTGTAACTAGAATGGAAGGAACTATCCCTTCAAACATAAGGGGTTCTCTCACGTGCTTGCTGTTAATAGGAAGTGAGACTGCCAGGCAGGGCAATGAGGCTAAGCAGAAAAGCCAATGAGCCCAAGGGTGAGTTCAAGGCCAAGGCTGAGGATTGAGGCTATGGGGTGAGGTTGACTGCCTGATGTCTGTGGCGAAGTGGGGATGGGGAAGACAGTCTGCAAGGTGGGGAGAGAGGAACTCCAATGGGAAGGGGTGGGGAAAGGCTTGAAAGGTAAGTAAAGGAATGGATAGGGATATGAGGTCTGCAAAGGGAGGGAAGAATCTGCAAAATGTGGAAAGGTCCTGAAAGGGGAAGTGGATTGCAAAGGGAGGAAGAGCTGCTTGAAAGGAAGAAGAGGCAGTGGAACACGGTGTGAGGGACTGGAAAAGAAAGTCAGGGTCTGGAAAGGGAATAGAAGTTCTGCAAAGGGTGAAAAGGATCTGCAAGGGAAGAAAGGAACTGATGCTATCCCAGGATCCCAAAACATCCTAATGGTTGCCGACACCTTGGGAACCTCTCTTGCAGATGACAACCTTGACTTGACTGTGAGGTCTAAATTGCATGAGTTATGTTTGCAGCACCTACTACATAGCCTTCAATACTTACCTGCCAAATTTAAACAATAATGTCGCTTCAAGATCAATGGGACTGTACATCATGGGACAAACAGCCCACTAATGCACTCAGCTCTAAAAGTCAAAAGTGACCTCGATGAAATTTCCCCATTCATTGTTAGAAAAATAAAACTTGGAGCAAAATTTGTAGGGGTCTGGGTGACTTGGGTTGTGCTGAGATAAGACAATAAGACATAACAGAAAGGTACAGGAGTAGGTCATTCAGCCCCTCAAGCCTGCTCCACCATTCAAAAGGATCATGGCTGATGTGACATGCCTCACGTCCATTTACTGGGTTTTTTCCAAAATCCTTGATTCCCCTACTGATCAAAAATCTATCTCAGCCTTAAATGAAATGTGTAGCAGAACTGGACAAGAGTTGCAGCGAGGCATATCCTGTTATTGGAAGAATGTCACTGCATCTTTCACACTTTTGACAAGCGATATGGTCAACTTGAGGTGCCAACTAAGAGGGATTCTTTTCTTGTTAAATGCCTTGTAAATGGCCAACTCACATCAATAGTAAATCAATTTAATATTCAACTTTCTATTTTACCAAATATGCTAAACAAGCTAGACATTGGGAAAATTCGTCAAGGAAACCAGAGCAGGATTCAACTCACTGCTTGCTCTAAGCAACCTCCATGTTGCTCAGCACCAAATATCTTATGGCATGATCTATAGGCAACAGTCACATGAATCCCTCCTCCACGTACATTGGCATTTGGCAACTTTTCACGATCATCATGGCTCCTCTCCAATACACTGGCAGTGCACTCTTGAAGTAAAGGCTTGCATTGCAGGTTGCACCAATAGCTTGCATTGAAAGTCTGCAGAAGAGATACTTAATGCGCATTAACAGGGACTCAGCTCACTGCTTGGACCATTCTGTATCTAAGGGCTGTTTGCTTGATCTTTTAGAGCTTACTCACCTCAGTACCTACCTGCATACTCGCAACATCCCTGCCTTGCCTTACTGTACCATTGAGTATAATCACACTAGTAGCAGCTTGCCTTTCTGGTCAGCAGTCCTCAGTCACGGTGGCATAAACCTTCCTGTATGGCAGTGTGCTACATCAATCTTATCTTATCATGTGCCAACAGCTGATGTGGCAAACACTCTGCCTGTGCAGCAAGCAGTCAACCATGTCTTAAAGTCTTAGGGGAATACTCCTCACAAAAATCCATGAAGTGACCCATCAGTCAAAGGGTCCCATCACTAGTCTAGAGCAGCCTCCTATACCAGTCCAGTGGATTCGTCATGGTCAAGCATTGCTCAGACTGTAAAAGATACAACATCTGCCCATACACCACCTCCCTCACCTCCATCCAGGGCCCTAAACAGTCCTTCCAGGTGAGACAGAGATTCACCTGCATCAACTCCAACTAGTCTCCTGCACCCGGCCCTCCTGATGTGGTGTTCTCTACGTCGGTGAGGCCAAACATAGACTAGGTGACTGTTTCACCGAGCATCTTCACCTGGCTGTAATGGCCAGCCCAACCTCCCGGTCACCGGCCATTTCAACTACCCACACCCCCACCCCCCCATCCCCCCACTCCACCTCCGACATGTCCGTCAGCGGCCTCCTCCAGTGTCGCAGTGACTCGGAACACAAATTTGAAGAACAACACCTTATCTTCCGCCTCGGCACCCTACAGCCCAGAGGACTCAACATTGAGTTCTCCAATTTCAAATAACCTTCCCACCCATCCCCTGGCTCCCTTTCCAGCCCCAACTCCTCCCTTCCATTCCACCTTCTGACCCTCCATTCCAGCCACCAACTGGATTCATCCCTCCCATCGACCACCCAGGTCATACCTACTACCACTGTCCACCTATCACCATCATTCTGCTACCCCACCCTTCTTTTTATCTGCAGCTCCCCCTAACCCCACATCCAGTTCTGAAGAAGGTAATACACAAAACGTTGACTTCTCCTTTCCTCCAGATGCTGCCTGGCTTGCTGTATTCTTCCAGCCTCCTGTTTGTCTACATTGCTCAGACTGTCATGGGGTCCCTGTCTCTGCCATCCAGCAAGTGGTCATGGTCACTCCTGTGGCTCCATAGTGACCAGTCAGGGAGTAGGCCTAATATGGTCGGCGAAATGTGCAGCCACTGGTCACGGACCTGGGCATTTCTCATCCAGGGCTAGCAGGAACTGCAGATGCTGGAGAATCTGAGATATCAAGGTGTAGACCTGGATGAACACAGCAGGCCAAGCAGCATCAGAGGAGCAGACCCTTCTTCAGAAGGGTCTAGGCCGGAAACGTCAGCCTTCCTGCTCCTCTGATGCTGCTTGGCCTGCTGTGTTCATCCAGCTCTACACCTTGTTATCTCATCCAGGGCTGTCCGATTAGGCCACTCAAGGGATGGGCCATTGTCAGTCCGTCGGATCTGTCCAAAGAAACTAAAGTGAAAAGGGTTGGAGGAGAGGGACAAGGGGAGCTGCTGCTGTGAAATAGAGACTTGGCAAGCTATTTTTAGTAGGAAGGGGAGTGACAAATATGAAGAGGAAACAACAGTATCTGCAAATGGGTGAATATGATAAAACATGTGGGAAGGGAGTCATGCAGGAGGGCTCAGGTCAGGTGCACCCTGGCTTCAAGAGATGGGATAGTTGGGGGTGGGTGGTCAGTGTATGTTCACAGTTGGCATGGTTACCTCATATTACAGGGGCTGGGTGAGAAAGGTGGGCAGTTGCAGCTCATGCAAACCGGTTAAGTGGACAGATGTGAAAAGGAAACCTGGAAAGGGACTGAGATGGTCAGAGGCTCACCAGCATAAGGAGGAGGCAGTAAACCAATGTCTGAAGAGCATTCATTGTCACCTTCGATTGTGCTGGAATTTGGATGGGGAAGAAAATAGCTGCAACCACACTCGAACTGGGAGGGCAGGACCTGAAGGGCCTGCTGATAATAGGACTTTTAAAGAAAATTACACACAAGCCCATGCACTACGCAGGGCACAGTCCTGTGAGGCCTGTAATCCCTGGTCATCCTAAAGTATTTGGCCCTCTGTGTGCCCTACGGCTTCTCGCCACAGCCATCGCTGACTAACACTTTTAGTCACAGAGACTGTGAAAGAATAGGGATGTTATAGGATATGGGCCAAAAGTGTGAGCAGCACCCATGGCCCTGTAAAAGCCTTTTTCTTCAAGCTCGCAGATGCTACAGCAGGATCTCACCCCATGCATGATACATTGTTTATGGCCAAAACGTTATGCCTCATGCTGAAACAATGTCATTTGGGGCTACACAGAGAGACAAAATATAAGGTGAAAGCAGTTCCCTTTATAAATAAAGTGCAAAATAATGTCACCAGTTCCACCAAAGTTCCCATGATGTGTTTTTTCCTCCTCTTCCTTTCATTATAGTATATCTGGTTCCTGAGTTGGGGAGGGAGTCTGCTCAGTGGAACCCATTGGGCCTGTAGGTTTGCTCGGCCAACCCTGGGGGCACTGGCATCTGGAAAAGACAGACACAACAAAGGTCTTTGTGCCAGATGCAAGTTGACCCTACTGAGTGCTTGCTTCCAAGGGTCAAGGGTGGCAGGCAAGATGGAGATGGAGGGCCTGGCCACCTCTGAAGTGCATGGCAGGAGACTTCTGAAGTTCTGTGTGGTTTCCCCTCTGACTGTGGTGCTTTCCTCGTTGTGAGGAGGGGGTGCTTGGAGCACCAGATTCCCTGTCCTCTTGTCCTGGGTGTAGGTGTGTACAGCTCTCTTGCAGACCTGAGGGAGCTGGACCTTGTGCTCCATGGCAGATGCTAACCTATGTATGGAGGCAGCCAGATGGTCACATGATTCACTGCTCTGCTGCACCTTCTGGGCCATGAGAACCATTGCATCCCACATCTCTGACTTCCACACCTGTTCCTACCTATTCATGTGAACGAGGTCCCTGATTGCTGACACCATAGGGTCATCTCCTGACTGAGGCTGAACAGGTACCTAGTCTCCAGGAGTCATCTGCATACCTGTGGCTTGGAGCATTCCATCTCGGCCAGCTGCAGAGCTGTCACAGTGAGATGCTCAGCTGATAATGGAGTTGTAGTCATGTCAGCTTTTTGATGCTGGCTTCTTGAAACCCTCACCTCTTCAATATCTCAAAAATCTATCTATGTCTTCTGTAAATACTTTCAGTGATCTATCCTCTAGAACTCCCAGGGCTAGATAAATCCAGACATTCATGACCCTCTAAGAGAAGAAATTTCTTTGCACCTCAGTTTTAAGTGAATGTCCCCTCCTTCTGTAACCATGTTTGATATTCCCCCATTAGTTGGAGATTCCATCATCTCAACAGTGTCAGTACCTGAGATGATGAGGGATGCAGGAGGCAGCTTTGCCGATGCTTCCTCTGAGGTCTTGGTACTCATTTCCACAGAAGTTGAGGAGATGGCATTTCAGGAAGATGTAGACATGCAATCTGGTTACTGCAAGCCAAAAGAAGGAGAAGGTGTCATAGCCAGTGGCTAGATGTGGTGTGCAATGAATAACACTGACTGTGAAATTAATGGGAGAGAAACGGTTGAATAAAGAGTGATGCTTACTCAGTTGGTAGGACATGGACATCTCGGCACTTGTACAGGACCAGTCCCATCTTATCCTGCAAAGGCCAGAATTCTCTCCTTGTCTGAGGTGAGGGCCCTAATGTCAGATATGCTTCCACCTGTACAGATTTTCTATGCCCTGTTAGAGGCTTTCTTCTCCTGTAATGGGAGAAATGCAGGTATTTAGAGAGATGAAAGTAGTTGGCATGGCTGTTAGTGCTGGTGCAGATGGGTTAAAGGTGGTGAGGTATTCTGAAGGAGTTGGGAGGCAGAATAGATGCCACACAAGGTTATTAGTGAGGAGGGATAAGGGTGTTGTGAGACTGAGTGAGGGAAGATGTTGCAGGCAACAGTGAGAGTAGTAAAGCATGAGTATTGGTGGCAGATGGGTACAGTTGCAGAGATAGAGTAGGCGTGAGATGGCAGACAGAAGTGTAGCACTTACCCTAGTACAATGGAGAAGGTACTGCTGGCAGTTCCTCTGCACTGTGGAAATGGCACTGACTTGGATGGTGACCTTGAACCAGGATGCGAGCTTCTGGTGTCATGACCACCTCTGTCAGTCCTCCAGGTCCTCAGACAAGACCTCCAAGTCCTGTAAAAGTATTGCAGTGCCATCCTCCCCTTCTCCTCCACCTCCAGATTCTCTCCTTCAATGAGCAGAGCAGTTTTGGAATGCCAGTGCTCATTTGGGTGCAGAATGAACTTGAAAAGATGGCACAACCACAGAGGATGACAGCATTTTGGAGGATATCCGCTGAGTGCAAATTGTTCTGGGGTTGGAGCTATAAGATGGGGCGGGAATCAGTCTTGAGGGACAGATGGGACAGGACATGTTGTTAATGAGACGGATTGGTGAGATATCGTGAGGAAATTCATTACGCTTTGCGGTGGAAATCCCTCCACAAAACTTGGACTTCGCCAAAAAAAAGTTAAGATTCAGCCCCTTGGTAACTTTCCTATATCATTAGTAAAGGGGAAAAAATGTCAATACCAGTTGTGGGTAACACACTCATGTTTGAGTCAGAAGGTTATGTATTCAATTTCCACCCCAGAGACTTGAGCTCAAAATTGAAGCTGGCACACCCACTATGATATTAAATATTCATTGCAGGGATGGATGAGACATTAAATCTAATTTCTGTCTGTTTTCCAAGGTGGGCATAAAGATCAATGGTATTATTTCATGAAGAGCAGGAAAGTTCTTCTTGTCCTTCAACAAACATTAATCTCCAAAACAATCTTCATTTCACTGGTTTATGGGATCACGCTGTGTGCAATTTACATGCTGCATTTCCACAACTCAAAAGTTTTTCATTGGCTATGAAATGTTTTGGGACATCCTGAGGTCATACAATGCACTGCAGAAATGGAATCTTATTTATTTAGCTCCCAACAGGATATTTGAAAAACATTTAGCAGAACTGTGGCATTTAAATTGTTCACTTTTCTACACAATGCATATAGCAACATTTTAGTGAAACATTTCTCCTGTCATTTACGTGTCCAGCTCCTCCCACATTGGCTGAGGTTATCATGAGGTATTCCTCTGCTCAACCTCTCCCCTTGCCTTAAGTATGGTGACCCTCAAGTTAAACCACCATCTGTCATCTCTGTCTAAAGAGACAGCAGCCCTATGATCTGGTAAAACTACTGTGATTTTAACTTACAGGTCTAAAACACTCTTAATTCAAGTGTCTATTGTAAAACGCTGAATAATTCCACTTTATTAGCAGTATTGTAGCTCCCTCCAGAGGTGTATGTGAGAACAAAAACAATTGGTACCAGTGTCTATTCAATGTGTAATCTGTAATGACAGGTTTCTGTTTAAATTTTATTACTTGAATTTGATGCACAACAAGTCAAGAGATTCTTATGCCTGGAAGATGGCATCTTGTATTCTAGTCATCTTCAAAGCATTATGCTATTACGAAGAAGTTACAGCACAGAAAAGGGCCATTTTGGTCCAACTGATCCATTCCAGCATTTTTGCACTATTTGAGCTTTCTTCCACCCTATTATTTCATCCTATCTGTATGTCGTTGAAAGCATCTACTCTATTCTATTCTATTCTATTTACATTGACCATTCCCTGTTTTAACATGATCCACACTGTCACTACTTTCTGGGTGAAGAAACTTCTCCTAAACTTATTATTGGATTTATTATTACTAAATTTACCTTAGAAACTAGTTCTGGTCTTGCCCAGAGGTGGAAGCATTTTTTTCTATGTCTATCCTATCAAACTCTTCACAACTTTAAGGACCTCTATCAGTTCACCTCTCACCTTTTTCTTTATTAGAAAAAGGAGTCCCGTTCTCAACCGTAACAATGATTAGACACAAAACACACTTTACTCTCCACCAGTACAAGGGTCTTTGACCTAACAATTAAATAGCACTTTCTACTAGAACATTAAAATAGCAGCCTTCGTCCATCAAAGGTCTACACTTTCTTCAAGAGATTATTTATAAATTAGAATGACTTAGCATTTGGGAAGGCAGTGGAGTAACAGTAATGTCACCAGACTTGTGACCGACGCTAATGTTCTGGGGACAAGGATTTGATTCCTAGCAGACCATATGATGAAATTTGAATTCTATAAAATCTGCAATTAAAAGTTAATCTAATGGTGACCATAGATGATTGTCATTAAAACCCATCTGGTTCACTATTGCCTTTCAGGCAGGAAATCTTCTATCCTTACTGTACCCGGCCTCCATGTGACGCCAGACCCACAGCAATGTTGCTGACTCTTAATTGTCCTCCAAAATGACCTAAAGGGGCACTCAGTTGAGGGGAAAATAGGGACAGGCAACAAATGCCAGCCTTGTCCATGATGCTTATAGCTCATGTAAGAATGGAAGAAAAACTGGACAGCTTTTATCAAGGAGGCAACTATACTTATCAGATAAACACTGTAAAAACCGCTGTAACACCAGAATTTGGAAACAATTTCCGCTCAGTAGGGTGTCTTGGACTAAGGTGCATAATCTAAAATGTAATGCCAGAACTTTCAGAATTAACATTAAGAAACATTACGGTAGATTTTTGAATTCTCTTCCACAAACAATGATAGGTGCTAAATCAATTTTTAATTATAATTGTGATTGATAGATTTTTTCTAACTAAAGGAATCAGGAGATATGGAGACAAAATGGATATTTAGGGTTTGGCCATGGATCAGCCATGATCACATTGAATAATGAAACAGGCTCTGGAATCAAGATGGCTTCCTAGGTTCCTATGTGAGTATGCCAGATAGCATATTTTTCTTAGTTATCAAGCCAGTCTGGGCTGAATTCAAACTAGAGATCCTGAAAATAAACAGCTTTCACAGGGAGTTGTTAACATTGCACACACGAATGGATGGTGGAAGCAGATTCTATGGAATATTTCAAAGGCAATTCACATGTACCTATATTTGAAGAGGACGAATGTTCAGGTATTTGGGGGAAAAGATGGAGTGAGCCAGGCAACTTGGACATTTTTTCAGACTTCACTATTTCCGATGCAAAATAGGAACTATGTTGTAAAAGCTGGATTTTGTAGCCGTTGGGAGTTGTAAAGGAGTGTTGGTACATGTGAAGGTAAGTATTGCAATTTAGCTGGTAGGAAATTGGGGTGATGAGGTCTGGGAAGTTAAAAAGCATTTAAGATAACTGGGAAGGTGGAGTTGAAAGATGCAAGGAAAACAATTTTCATGTAAAGGAAGAGTGGATGAATAACTCAGATTTAATTCAAGAAGAGGGTGGGGAACATTTAGAACAGGAAGACAGGGAGTGCAGTAAAGTTTATGGAGAATTGGGTGTTTGAAAGAGTGTGTGACTAGTTCAAGTTCAGGTCCCACTCCAAGGCATAATGGTCAAGGAAGGGCCATGTGATCAAAAGAAATTGGAGCCTCTACTGTCACAATCTATAGCTCCAGAATCCAGCATGTAAAGGTGCATCTTGAAACTGCAAATTGGACTCCTTGGGGATGGATGAGCTATTTGGATGGCTGGTCTGAATCCATGCTGGAGATTGTGATGCATTTAGCAAGAACTCAAGAAGAATGCTTGCACTATGTTTAGATTTTACAAATTGCTCGATAGCAGTGTTATCAAACAGAATTTGACACCAAGTCACATGAGGCAGGACCAAAAGCATTGGCAAATAGATTTTACGCAGAAGGAGGAAAGTGAAATAGGAATTATTTAGGGAGAGAATTGCAGATCTTGAAGCCTAGGCAGCTGAAAGCACAGCCACCAATATTGGAATGATTAACACTGGGGAAATACCAGTATTGGAGGAACACAGAGATTTCAGAAGGTTATAGGATGTTGCAGAGGTAAAAAATGAGTGAGGACAATCATGTTTTTGAAGAGCTTTTTAAAGAGCATTTTAGAATTGCAATATTGCAGACTGGGAACAACGGTAGAACAGCAAACACATGAGTGAATAGAATTTGGTGCGAATTAGGATATAGGCAGTAAGATTTTGGATGAGTGAACGACCATTGCAATAGTCGGGTGTTCCCTCTGGATCTGACAACAATGTGTTTCATGTTGTAGGTTAAAAAATCCTTTTACCTCAATCATTTGTTTTATCAAAGGTAACTCCAGAGATCACTGAACTATGTCGTCACTAGGCAGCTCTGTCCAGTTGGTTTTCTCCAAACGCTGTTATTGCTTCTCCAATAAATTAAGCACCAAATACATCATTGAGCTAAGCAGGAAGTTAGAGGAACAGTGAGCCCCATCGCCCTGACTGACATTTGAATTTGATTGCTTGATTTCCTTTTGTTTTGGTTTCAGTGACATCCCTTTAGGCAGGTGGTTAGGACTCACTGATATTTGATGAAAAACTTGTCACCACTGATCCACACTGAAGAGATGAGCAGAGGATAGTCCTGAAGAAAGGTAATACCCGAAACGTTGACTGCTCCTTTCCACCAGATGCTGCCCGGCCTGCTGTGTTCTTCCAGCCTCCTGTTTTGTTTACCTTGGATTCCAGCATCTGCAGTTTTTTTTTGCCTCTAACAGGGGGACCGTCGTTGCGGCAACGGGATGGCGTTCTGCTCAAAGCGCAGGCGCGGCTAGGTCACGTGGTGAGCCACACGTGGACTGTGGTGGTCACGTGGGGCGGTCCGCTGGCTGCAGGATGGAGGTTAATGGTCGTCGTTCGGTGACAGGGTTGGAGGGCGAATGGTTACAGCGCCAGATTCGAGTATTGAGGACTGAGCTCCGCAACCTGAGGTATTGGGCGACAGTGACAAAACTGCCTATCATTACCGACTAATCTCACTGAAGGAGAGAAACTGACATTTCGATAGCGCCTCTTAACATCCTCAGATCAACAGCCAGTCAATGCTTTTAGCAATTTTGAAAGCTCACTCCCTGCTAGCAATGACTAAACACTACGGCAGCAAGATCCCACAAACAGCAAGTTGTTCGACTATTTTTTTTGTAATCATTGAGAGTGATGAATATTAGTCCCAAATATGTTTGTGTTCGAGTCTCTGGACAAGGGCTTGAATTTACAGCCTCCTGACTCAGACAAGAGCGTTCTATGCCCACTGAGTGACTGTACAATTGAAATTGGTTTTAGTATGTATGGGAGTGTGCAGTTTACAAGCAGGCTTTAATAACTGCTGGGAAATGTGCGCACTTTTTTCCTAAGATTTGCAAATTAGTTTGGCAGTTCTTTACAAGAGGATTCAAGTATACGAGCACAGAAGTATTGCTGCGATTATACAGGGCCTTAGTGAAACTACACCTAGAAGATTGTGGGCAGTTTCTGTCTCCTTATTAGAAGAAGGATATTTTTGCTATTGACTCAGTGCAGTGAAGGTTTACCAGGCTGATTTCCTTGGATGGTGGGACTGATGTAGGAGAGGTTGATTCCCTTAGATTATATTTGCTGCAGTTCAGAAGAATATGGGGTACCTCATAAAAATGTATAAAATCCTAACAACTAGACAGGGTCGTTTGCAGGAAGAATACTCTTGAGGTAGAAAGTCCCAAACCTGGAGCCGTAGTCTAAGGATATGGGCTAAACCATTTAGGACTGCGGTAAGAAATTTCTTCACCCAGAGAGTGGTGAGCCTGTGGAAATTTTTAAAAAATCATTCACAGGATGTGGGTGTAGCTGGCTAGGCCACCATTTGTTGCCCATCTCTAATTGCCCAGAGGACAGTTAAGAGTCAGCCACATTGCTGTGGGCCTGGAGTCAACATGTAGGCCAGACCAAGTGTGGGTGACAGATTTGCTTCCCCACAGGACATCAGAGAACCAGATGGGTTTTTAATGATAATTGGTAATGGTTTCATTGTCATCATTAGATTCTTAATTCCAGAATTTCTTGCTGAAATCAAATTCCACGATCTGCCTTGGTGGGATTTGAACCCGGATCCCCAGAGCATTAGCTGAGTTTCTGAATTAATAGTGTAGCAATAATACCACTAGGCCATTGCCTCCCCTAATTTGCTGCCAGGGAAAGCAGAAAGGGCCAAAACGTTCTCTGATTTCAAGAAGGAGTTAGAGATAGAACTTGGGGCTAAAAGGTTCAAATGATATTGTTGGGGAGAACAGGCTGTTGAGTTGGATGATCACAACTAATGCACTTTAAATAATTTTGGATGTGCAAATTCTATGAAACCTAGAAAACAGCTGCAATTTGCACAAAAAGCAAGCTCCCAGAAACAAAGTGACAATAAGTTGATAATCTGTTGGTTGACGGATAAATGGTGACTAGAATACCAGTGCGAATTCTCCTGCTCATCCTCCAAAAGCATCATGACATCTTTTACATCCACACAAGGCAGCAACTGGGGCCTCAGTTCAGTCTGAAATGAAAACATATGGAAAGTGAAGAGTGGGCTCAGTTCGAGTAATGAGGAAACAAACACCAGCACAGATTTACATGGAACAGAGGAAGGGTAGGCCACTCAGCCCTTTGAGTCTGCTCTGCCATTCATTACAGAGTTGTACAGCATGGAAACAGATCCTTCTATCCAGCTCATCCACACTGACCAAGTTTCCCAAACTAAACTAGTCCCACTTGCCTGCATTTGGTCCATATCCCTCTAAACCTTTCCTATCCATGTACCTATCCAAATGTGTTTGCCACTTTATCTGGCAGTTTATTGCACGCACTAACCACCCTCAGGTCCCCCTTTCAAATCTTTCTCCTCTCGCCTTTAAAATATGTTCCCTAGTTTTGAACTCACTGCCCTAAGGAAAAGACATTTGCTAGTCACTTTATCAATGCCACTCATGATTTTATAAACCTTTATAAGGTCACTCCTCAATCTCCTATGCTCCAGTGAAAAAAGTCCCAGGCCTATCCAGCCTTTCCTTATAACTCAAACCCTCTAGGCCCAACAACAGCCTGGTAAATCTTTTCTGAACCCTCTCTTCAAATATAATGATATTCTTCCTATAGCAGGGCGACCAGAATTGTACACAGTACTTCAAAAATGGCCTCACCAGTGTCCTCTACAACCTTATCGTGGCGTCTCAATGCCTATATTTGATCTTCTGAGCAATGAAGCTAAATGTCTTCTTAACGACCTGTCTACCTGGGATACAACGTTCAAAGAACTATGCACCTGAACCCCTAGGTCTCTCTGTTTGACAACTCTACCCAGGGGCCTACCATTAACTGTATAAGTCTTGCCTTTGTTTGTTTTGCCAAAATGTAATTCCTCACACTTATCCAAATTAATCTCTGTCTGCCACTCCTCAGCCCATTGGCCCAATTGATCAAGATCTCTTTGTAATTTTAGATAACCTTCATTGTCAATTATACCACTAATTTTGATGTCATCCATCATGCACTGTAAACTCCAGTTCTGAAATCTATTGTTTGGAAACATCAGATGTCTGAAATTTTTTTTGAGCAGATCTAGGCAACTCATGGCATCATTTTAGTGCAGTACTTGGTGAGTGGAAAAAGTGGAGGATACTGTGTTTGGATAATTAAAACAATTTTTGTTGCCTTGTTTTATGGTTCAAATCTATGGTGCTTTCCATGGTCAGGAATTCTAATGTCATTCTGTAATCCAGAAATGATTTGGTTCCAAACATTCCAGACTGGAGAGTTAGGGTACATTTCTGATTTGTCCAGTGCCCCAAACTGAACCTTTGTTATAGTCCATATTGCTCCTGTAGAAAGGTGTTGCTATTTGTGGAATCTTGCTGTCTGCAATTATCACATGTATTTCTCACACAAAATTAATTCAGTAATTCTGATTAGGGCCAGTCAAGGACAGTAGTGGGAAGTTGTGCTTGGAGTCCGAAGAGATAGGAGAAGCGCTAAATGAATATTTTTCCTCAGTATTCACACAGGAAAAAGACAATGTTGTCGAGGAGAATACTGAGATAGAGGCTATTAGACTAGACGGGATTGAGGTTCATAAGGAGGAGGTGTTAGCAATTCTGGAAGGTGTGAAAATAGACAAGTCCCCTGGGCCGGATGGGATTTATCCTAGGATTCTCTGGGAAGCTAGAGAGGAGATTATAGAGCCTTTGGCTTTGATCTTTATGTCGTCATTGTCTACAGGAATAGTGCCAGGAGACTGGCAAATGTTGTCCCCTTGTTCAAGAAGGGGAGTAGAGACAACCCTGGTAATTATAGACCAGTGAGCCTTACTTCGGTTGTGGGTAAAGTGTTGGAAAGGATTATAAGAGATAGGATTTATAATCATCCAGAAAGGAATAATTTGATTAGGGATAGTCAACACGGTTTTGTGAAGGGTAGGTCGTGCCTCACAAACCTTATTGAGTTCTTTGAGAAGGTGACCAAACAGGTGGATGAGGGTAAAGCGGTTGATGTGGTGTATATGGATTTCAGTAAAGCGTTTGATAAGGTTCCCCA